TATGAAGAAATATTATGTTTTTCAAGTATTTACATTTTCAATTATTTATTATTATTTTAGATATTCGATTTTGTTAATTGAATGGTCAATCAATTCCTTGAAAGCGAACAGTTGCTCAATTCGATTCTCAATATGACTAATCCTCACTTTTCCAAACGTTTCACCAATCCGGCTCGAAGAATTAAAATCTTCTGGGTAGATTCTCCCATAACTGCACAGTTTATTAGAAAGGTATACAAGGCCGCCGGGGCTTCTGAATAGTCTAACCGACTCCTCGGATCCGAGTACAGCTTCCCTCCTGGAGACTGTGTTTCATATAAACAAGTCGTATACGAATGAATAAAAATTGTAATTACCCTGGTTCTTACATTTATAGCAAATTTATTAATAAATATATTCATTTTGTTTGATTTCGTTTGTAAAGATTACTGAATTCTCTTTATCCATACGTTCACCCTGAAAATCACTTTGCGTCGTTCTATTATAAGAACAGATTTTATATTTGTCAAAATTTAGTTCTGGAAACAAATTCGAAATAGGTACCGTAACGTTACTTGGTCGCAATATTTTTAGATACTGTTTTGATGTCTTGATTTTCGCTAGAGTTTGAAAAATATGGCATTATTTTATTCTATTAAAATTTTTACTTTCAACTAAAATTTGCCGCCCCTTGCATCCTGCCGCCCGTGTGCAGCGCACACTCTGCACACGCTAAAGTCTACTCTAAAGTCTACACTGAGAAATGTCCGATTAAATATAATCGGATAATCCAAATACATAATAACAAGCGGTTATATACAATTAAATTGCATATCCGATGTATAGTAAAATTTCAGAAAACTCTCATAAAGTTCTTGAAAATGCCATGTTGTCCCACGATTACACAATTTTCAGGATAAATTTTAAGAGAAAATTCTCTCCGTGTGTACATAATTACGTTGGTAATCATTCACAGTCATATAACCGTTGTGTGAATACAACACTGAGAAAAATTTCCATCGGATAAACCAATTAAATAGTGTTTCCGATGGTTAATTTTTCCGATTACGCTTTCCGATTAAATTATGGATACCTCTGATGAAATTTATCCGATGAAATGCAGTTACCGACGAAATTTTATTGAAAAACCGATCATATTTTTCATCAGATATACAATTTAATTGGACATATCCGTGTGTTATTATGTAATTGGATTATCCGATTATATTTAATCGGACATGTTTCTCAGTGAAGATGTGTCCCACGAATATCCGACCTCTGCATATATCTTTTTCCTTAAGCCTATCACACAATAGGAAAGCACAGGGAATAGGGAATAGGAATAGGGAATAGAAATCTATGTAATGCCAAGACACAATGATTCGTTGGCAATAGGCGTGCTGTCCAATCATCTGCATTTTAAAA